GAAGGAACAACATTGTCTTCACCCTCCAAAAATAATCTTTTCAATCTTTAAGGATGTTTTCAAATAAAATTTTTCACTGATATATAACAAGATATGTTCCAAATAGAAATCACTCTATTATTTAAGGCTGTGATCCACTTTTAATCATTCAAAATCACTTTTTAATTTGAAAAGCAGAGTGACAGAGACAAAGATCTTTTATCCACTGTCTCCTCTTCTAACTGATTTACTCTCCAAATGACTGGGAAGCCAGGAGCCAGGACCTCCACTCTGGTCTCCCAGGTGGTGGCAAGAACTCAAATGCTGGGGTCATTGTCTGTTCCTTTCCTGGGAGTACTAGCAGGAAGCTAGCAGAGGTGGGGCTGCTGGGACTCAAACCAGCACTCTGAAAGGGGATGTCTACTCCACAAGTTGGGGCTTAACCCAGTGCACCACCACACTAACAATATTTAAAAATATATCTTAAAGTCTCTTGCCTTTTAATAGCCTATGTTGACATCAGACGCAGGGGCTAAGGTGGTAGTACTGAAGAAAATCCCTGATATTCTTCTGATGACATCACATATCACTCCTCCTTTTCTGCTGTTTCTTCTACATGTGCTGCAGGAGCTTCGGGCAAGAATGCCTTTCTTGTGCCTGGGAGATTCTCTGTAAAAATGCCTGGCATGACAGGCTATAACTTGAGCTGCAGACACACTGGCAACAGAGGCTAGCTGCACAGGTCTGAATGGCTTCCTGGGAGCACAGAGAGGTCCCTGGCCTGGGAAATGGGGACTGAAGTCACATGTCCAGCCTGTCCCTGAAACACACCTGGGTGTTCCCGAAGCCTTCAGCCCAGAGCGTGTCCCTGAGCAAGCCAGGACAAGAGTGCTCGCTGCGGAAGACAGAATTTAAATGAGGATCCATCTGGGCACTGGAACCAAGCTCTGAGAGTTTAGATTCTGACTAGGAACAACGCAGCTACTGAAAGCTGAGTCTTCAGAGCATTTTTCTCTGATGATTTAAAAAACAAAATGAAACAGGCAGCAAGGTTCACCTCAATCGTCATTTAAAACCTTCCTTTGACCGAACAAGGCCCTCTGCAAGCTTTTGGTTTCTCCACCTCCCAGCTGTCAGTGTTGAAAAGGAAACTCAAAACCTAAAAGACAGTTTCGCTTAACGCTCCTGGGTGGAAGAGGCCAGGTTCTCTCACACTCCCAAGGTGTCCACAGGAGGCAGGGGCTGCCCGGCGGAGGGGGTGGGCCTGCTGCAGCCAGTGACAGGGTGGGGTACTTCAGACATCCTGCACCGTCCCCCAAGCTTCCCCAGACAGCCCAGGAACCAGGGGTGCCAGCACTCACGGCAAGGCCCAGCTGCCCTACCCAGGCTCCCGGCTCGGGCCTTCTCCCTGCTTCCCGCCCTCCCCCGCCCTTATCTGAATGATCTGGAAGATTCAGGCCAACTAGGAATCCCAAAACCATCTGTGAAGACGTTTCTTGCCCATTTTAGTTTTCAGCAGTTGCGACAAATGGTAAAGCCATTGTGTTTCCAAGGTCTCAGCTCCAGCACTTGGTGCTTGGCGGTTCTAAGCTCAGTAAAACATACGATCAATATTCCTTCTGATGTCTTTACTGATCAGCTATGGTCACCACCTGCCTGTGCAGAAAGGATGTGGGGTGGCCCTACAAAGTATCCTCTGCGCACGGCTCACCCAGAAGTAAAATGACAGATCCAGAGCATGAGACAAACCAAAAGCCTTTATTGCGACAATAAAACCAAAAGCAACACACAAAAGGCACTCTGCAAACACTCCTCGCTACCATTATTTCAACACTAGCCGGCCTGCCAATTTTCTGATTCTGAAATGTAAACAGATAGACAGAAAAGTTAGCCTGGCCCTCTTTTTCATTAAATGCTTAATCACTTAGCTCATTTCCATAAACTGGCAGGAATTCAATCTCAATTCCTTTTTTTTTTTTTCCTTAGCCACTTTTTAGGAGAGTAATCTAACATTCCCAAGAACAAGCAACTAATGTTTTCTTACGAGACCAGAACAAGTAAACAACCCACAAGATACATTTCTGTGAGTTTAAAATGTTAAACTCCGATCTTGGTATTTTTTTATTGGAAAACCTGTCACCAAGGTGTAAGTTGCCTGCAACACTTTCTGAATTACTAACAATGATCATTTTTACTCTAATCCTCTTCCAGGCCTTCTGTTTTGTTGCTACTTGACTGTTTTCCACCGTCTACATGTTTTGCTATAGTGAGAATCTGAACATACAGCAAACTCAGCAGCCATCAGGGATGCAGACGCACAACAAAAGATAGGCCCTCGTTCACCCGTGACATGGACAGCCACAAATCGCTTTACAGCCTCTGCAAAAGTGTGCCTGCCTTTCCTCAAAGTCTGTTTCTCTATTGTTTGGGACAAATGTGACTTTTACTTGAAAGCCACATTTTAAATTGTTTTCAATGTCTCCTTGTTAAGTGAACTAAATCAAATTTCACATTCCCCAATTGTATTTCTCATCTGTAACCATTCACAAGGACTTTTAAGTAAGGAACGTTTTTAAACACTTCCAACAGCTCAGATTTTCCCTTGTACTCCAAATCTTATGCCAGGTATATTGCTATATTGACACAAACATTCACCTCTGGATATCTGGATATTTGGATAATTATGCTTAATAGAAAAAGCCCAAGTATAAAACTGAGAAGAGAAAAATCAGTTACTTTTATTTCTAAGAGATGCAACAGTAATTAGGCTGGATGGACTCAGATCTTTCAAAAAGGAAACACTTGAGATCCTGGGTTTTCTGAGAAAGAGGGGGAGAAATGCACACTTTAAAAGGAAGTTTCCTGTGAATATTTCTCACCCCAAGGCAGGCTCTACAGGTTCCACACTGTCCCTCTCTATTTCAAAGCCACTGTCAAAAGGTAACCTCTCACAGTAAAACCTAAAAAGACTTTAAAAGGAGAAAAAAAAAAAAAGCAAAAGGTGCAATCTGGAGCACTTTTAGTCACTGTCATTCTGGCCAATGGAAACTGGTCACCCAGGCGATCTGCCGCCTGCAGTGTCCTCCTGGAGCTCTGAAAAAAAAAACATTGTTATGCTGCCGGAAACAGCAGCAGGTAAACTCATTTGGGGGGGGGGGGGGGACACTGAGCAGAAGAGTGTGGTGTGTCTGTGCGTGGGGTGTGTGTGTGTCTATGTGTGCAGGGTGGAATGTTGGCGTGTATGGAGTGTGTATATGTGGGGTGTGTGTGTGGAGCATCTGTGTGTATCAGTGGTGTGTGTCTGCATGTGTCTGTGCATGTGGTGTGTGTGTGTGTGAGGTGTATAAGGGGTGGGTGATACCACTCTGCCCACTCTAAGCAATAAAAGTGGCAGCCAAATGTGGGGAAAGGGGATGCGTAGCACAGCAGAAAATCCAGGGAGAGGCTCCAAGCTCCCACCCGACAACAGGAGGAACCAGAGGGCCCTGCAGGGCCTCCAGCACCATCACACCACAGCATTCCCAAGACAGAATTTCAGAGTGGAGGGAGAGTGAAAACTTTTCCAGCCCCAATGCCACATGTCCCATTGGGTCCCGCCACTAGGTGGCCGGCTGCACAGGCTGCCTACAGGGGTCAGCTCCCCTTCTTGCCTTCAGAACACTTGCGCAGTCCAGAGGAACTCACCGCTGTCACCTGGACCCAGCTAACGAAGAATGTCAGGTGGCAGCCGGACACACCAAAGCCCAGGCCTTGGAACCCACTGGCACCAAGGAACGGCCTCTCGTAAAAACGGGCTCGGCAGGGAAGCAGGGGCCGAACAGCATATTTTAAACTGGCTCTGGAGTTGCAATCACCACCTTCCTCCCTTGGGGTGTTGGATGTAAACCTTGACTGGGGGCGGAGGGGGGTGGCCGCAGTTAAGAGCGGCAAGTGGCCACACAAGGCCAACGCGACCCACTGGGCTGGTTTGTCCAGACCCTGCGACTCAGCTCCTGGTGGGCTGTGTGCACCTCTCTCACACACACACCGCACACCACGTCCGAGCCACACGGGGATGGAATGGGCTGGGTAAACACGGCCGTTTTATGGCTAGCCAGGAGTCCTTCCTTCATTCATCAAAGCCGGTGAATGAAAGCATTAAGAAGCAGGTAAGGCGTTTTCACCGCGGCGGCCCGAGTGTCCTCCCACGGTCCTGCCTCTTACCTTGGGTCTCAAAGAAAGCCACCATCTCCCCCCGCCACCCCAATCCATAAAAGGGGAAAACCACTTCCCCTTTCCCAGAACAGCTGCACCCTTGGCAGGAGAGGTGTTACATAAATTCCAACTGTTCCTGAGCGCATGTGTTTACACACACACACACCCCACTCACCTCCAGAGCACCTAAGTTTCTGGGCTGCCGGCTGCTTTTCTTTCCCTTAGCCTAAAGAGGCTGGGAAACGAGTGCTCACAGGTTTACTCACGGGGTCTTACCAGCTACACTGACTCGCAATTTCCTGCCAGCTGAGCGCAGGAAACCGGACGATTTGCATCCGAAGCCCCTTTCACGCAGCGACACACTCTCACCCTTCCGAAGTGAGCCCAGACAGTCCAAGCATCTGCCGCCCTCACCGCCACCGCCACCAGCAGCAGCTCATCACACTCTTCGGGCCGCGCAGCAAGGAAACTGAGAGCGGGAATGCGTCTCCAGGTGACCGGCACGGCCATCCCGCCGCGCCTCGGCCGACCGCTCCCTGCTCGCACACCGCGGGGGCGCCCAGAGAAGCGGCCGGTGCCCAGTCGGGGTCGGTGTCCGCGCCGGCCGCGCACGCCGAGCCTCGGCCGGTGCGGCCCCTCGGAGCTCGCGCTTCGCCCCGCGCGCTCGCTCGCCCGCCCGCTGCCCGGAGCCAGACTCCGCCGGGGCGGACTCGGCAGCAGCTGCGCTGGGGTCGGGGACCCACGGCCGCCGCCTCGTCCTCACCCCGACCCCGGCCGGTCGTCCCCGGCATCCCCGGCCCGGCCCGCGCCGCCCCGCGCTCACCTACCTTCCCTGGCTTTCAGCAAGACCGTGTTGGCCACGATGTTTTCCAGCTCCATTGACAGCCGGCGGGCAGCGCGCGAGCCGGCCGGCGGGGCTGTCAGCGCCTGCGGGGCTGCCGCTGCTGGGAGCCCGCCGCGCCTCTACCGCATGATTCCTGCTCGCAGCGCTCGGAGCTCGCCCCTCTGCGGCCAGCCGCGCCGCCGCCGCTCCTTCCTCCCTCCGGGGCGCCCGGCCCCCGCCTTCCGCGGCTCCCCGCCACCCCCCAGCCTCCGCGAGCCTCTGTCACTCCATTCTCCTCCCCTCCGGCCGCCTCGATGCTTCGACGCCTCGGATGCTTCTGGCTCCCCTCCGGCCCTCCCGGGGGTGTGGTACCAGCCGCCTCAGGCCGCGCCACTGCGCCGGCGCCGGCCGGGGGGGGGGGGGACGGGAAAGCCGCTGGGGGGTGGGGGGAAGCGAGCCTCCCGCCTCGGCGCCGCGCCGCGGGGGCTGCTGGGACTTGTAGTTCCCCGGGCCGCGCGGCTCGCGAGGCTGGGGCCGGGGCGGGGCCGGGCTGGCACGCGGCGGTGGGAATCCGCCCCGAGACGGCGCCGAGAGTTAGGGCGGCCCCGCCGCGCCGGAGCCCGGAAAGCGGGAGTCCGCGGGGCCGGGGCGTGCTCGGAAGCGGAGGCCGCTTCCTCAGAGCCCCAGCGGGCTCCCGAGGCGGCTGAGCCCCGGTGGGGGGAGCTCGGGCCGCTCGCCCCCAGCGGCAGGCTTGACCCCGGCCCGGCGGCTCGCACGCGCCCGCGCCAGGTCCGGGACAAAGGTGTACTTTGTTTCCTCAGAGGGCGGGAAGGGGCTGCGAGAGGCGCAGCCACCCGGCGCCGAGTCCCGCGTCGGGAGCCGCGCGCGGCACGAGCGCCCTCCGGCGGCCCGAGTCCACGCCGCCCGGGACTCGGGGTCCGCGTCTGGGAGGCGGGTGCTCGAGGTAACAGGCTACGATCCCGCAAGGCCGGCGACTCTGCGGACCACCGAACTCGTCCAGGTCCACAGGAGCGAGCGGGACTCGCCCCGGTGCAGGACCAGCTGGCCCCAGGAAAGGGGCTCTACCGGGGACTGTGTCCTCGGGCTGTCCCGGGAACACTGAGGCCTTGGCCACCTCTGTGTATTGCAGACCGGCGGAGGAGACCACCTCTGTCCCCGTGGCTGCCGGGAAGCAGCCGGGAGGTGACCGGAAAAAACAAAAAAAAACGAACAACCATCACTGACTCTGCGTCAGAAAGCATGAAGGAACAGGCTTTCCAAGCCTTGCACGCAGCGAAGCTTGCCCATTCCCACCGTTGGGTCTTCCTTCCCAATGCTGGAGCGTGCCCACCGTGGCTTGCCAGTATGCCTGGGCATCCGACGGTCTGCCCGGGCCGCCCTTGTCCTGTTTGCAAAGCGGCAGCAGCAGAAGGCCTGTCAAGGCAGGGCTCCGCAGACAGGCAAGGCAGACTCGCGTTTGTCTCCCAGGAGCAGGTCACAGAGCTGGCGGCATCGTTCAGCATCAGGTGTAGTGCTGCCTTGGCGGCAGCCCCGGCCTCCCACAGCACACAGTTTATTTGGTTGGCCATTAGGAAGTAACGGAGCCCCGGGTTGGGTGGAATCCCGGCTGTTCTACTAACCCCACTTCAGCTCCAGCTCCCTGCTCGTGGACCTGGGAATACGGTCTGAGATTGGTGCACAGTGATCAGGAGCCTGCCACTTTCCTGGGAGATCCTAGCCCACGCCTGGCTGGTGCAGCCATTGGAGAAATGAGTCCGGAGATGGAAGATCACGGTGTGTGTGTCACTCTCTGTCATTCTGCCATTGAAATAATTAATAAACATTATTCTTTCTTTTGTTAATTGAATGAGGGTCCTGACACAGTAGTCTATTAGCTAAAGTCCTTGCATTACATGTGCCAGGATTTCATGTGGCTTCCGGTTTGTGTCCCAGCTGCCCCACTTCCCATCCAGCTCCCTGCCTGTGGCCTGGGAAAGAAGTAGAGGATAGCCCAAAGCCTTGGGACCCTGCAGCTGTGTGGGAAACCCAGGAGAAGCTCTTGACTTTGGATCAGCTTAGCTCCAGCCATTGCACTCACTTGGAGAGTGAATCATCAGACGGAAGATCTTCCTCATTGTCTCTCTTCCTCTCTGTATATCTGACTTTCCAATACAAATAAATGAATGAATGAATGAATGTAATTGAATGAGATAGCTCAGACTCCAGACTCTCAATCTTCAAGGTATATTCAGTCACACCAGGGGTATGTAGTCAGAATGAAGGTTCTGTTTAGCTAAGTCTGGGTGGGTCCTGAGGTTCTGGCCTTTTCCCCCACAGACTCCAGGGTACACTCTGTCCTGCCAGTCAGTATACCCCAGCTAGGAGCAGAAACTCCACAGCTGCTGTGTGGCCTTCAGGTCACCTGTCCGACCTCCGAGAGGTTTGCATCTGGGACGTCGGGACCCATACTGACCCAGGGAGAAGTGAGTCCACTACTAATAAGCCAGCCCATCCTGGTCCCTCTACGCAACAAGGTCATGTGTCCTGCCTGAAGAATAAATGGCTATGCCTGGTTATCTGTGTTTCTTGAAGGAAATAAGGCCATCCTGATAGAGAAAGGAATGATAAGGGCCAGCGTTTACTCGGCAGCCACTGTGGGCCAGGCCATGTGCTGTGTCTTTGACGTGGTATCTCCTCGGACACAACATCCACATGGGACAGGAAACAGCCCTGTTTTGAAGATAAGGGGAGGTTGTATAACTTGTCTGGGGTCACAGAACTAATAAGTAGAAGACCTGGGATTGGAACCCCACAGTCTGACTTAAGAGTCTATGAACTTTTCTTTTTTAAGATTTATTTATTTCTTTTTTGAAGGAGAGATGGAGCTACTAGGCTATCATGCCAGACCCAAGCATCTATGAATTTAACCTGGCTCACTCAGGCTGCCTGGTACAAGTTGATTGTCACTCTTCTGGGAATTGGGCTGCCATGGCAAACCTGTGCTGTCAGCATGGCCAATACACAAGGAGCTTTGCACTCAGTCTTTAGTTTCACCATTGTGGTTTCATTCCTTTTACTTATCTGAACTAACAACACACAGTTCTCTTAAAAATGAGTTTGAATCTGGCCCAGTGGCTCAAGTCCTTGCCTTGAGATCCCACACAAGCACTGTGCTGGTTCATATCCCAGCTGCTCCACTTCCATCTTTCTGCTTGTGGCCTGGGAAATCAGTCGAGGATGGCCCAAAGCCTTAGGACCCTGCACCTGCATGGGAGCTCCAGAAGAAGTTCCTGGCTCCTAGCATCAGGTTGGCTCAGTTCCAACCGTTACAGCCACTTGGGGAGTGAATCACAAGATGGAGATTTTTCTCTCTATCTCCCCTTCTCTCTATAAATTTGATTTTCCAATAAAAAAAATAAATCTTTGTATAAATAAGTAAATATTTTTTAATGAGTTTGACTCAAGAAAAAATAATCCATTCAATATTGGGACTGCCGGCATGCAGTGTTGGCATGCATGTGACTGCCAGTTCAAGCCCCTGTGACCCAGCTTTCAGGTCAAGCTCCCTGCTAACGCACCTGGGAAGGAAACAAAAACTAGTCCAATGGCATGCCCAGATGCTCACGGGGGACATAACAGCCAGTTCATTGAGGCCTGCAGAGGATGTCTAGTGCCATGAGGGGCAGAATAAATTGGACAGCTCTCCCAGACCAGCCTTGACAGTATCTGGGCAAGCGGAGACTCTAAAGTACTGTGTCAGCCAATGGACCTTGAAAGGATTTCCTCAACCTTGGAACAATGAAAGCAGCATCTCAGAACTGTCTAAACAATTTAAGCAGTACCTTTGGAGCATGCTCCACCTTGGGGACCCTGGGTGGCTGTCCCCCATTCTCGGGCATTGATGCAGTTAGGCTGTTGGGAGCGCCCCTCTCCCTTTCTCTCCCCTCTTCCCACCAATAGAGGATGAAAAAAGGAGATTGGAAGCAGTTGTCTCATCTACTCTTCCCTATTTCTTGACCCGCCATCCTAATCGGTGGTCCACATGGGTATGCATCCTTCTTAACTACGTAAACATCATCAGAAATAAAATAAATTTATTGTAAAGAAGATGAAGACGATGGGCCAAGTACTTGGCTCCCTGAAACTCACATGGGAGACCAGGATGGAGTTCAAGCTTCATGGCTTCAGTGTAGCCTAGCTGTTTCACATACGCGGGAAGTAAACCAGAAGTTCTCTCTCTCGGTCCCTCCCTCTCTCTGTGTCACTCTGCTTTTCAAGTCAATAAAAAGGTTCTTTAGGGGGAAAATCAGTAGGGTAGGGCCAGCTGAGAGCAAGAATGGAAATCCTTGGTGACTGGAGGCCAGGGTTTGTAAAACAAACAGGGCATCTTATCTTCTCCTGCTGAATCACAGATATAACTAGTGAGTCAGAGGTGTTTTTTTTAAAGATTTTTTTTTTGTTGTTGTTGGACAGAAAGATCTTCCATCTGCTCATTCGCTCCCCGAGTAGCAACAATGGCGGAAGTTGGAGACAGGATGAAGGAGCCTCTTCCGGGTCTCCCATGCGGATGCAGGGTCCCAAGGCTTTGGGCCACCCTCCACTTCTTTCCAAGGCCACAAGCAGGGAGCTGGAAGGGAAGTGGAGCAGCTGGGACATGAACCAATGCTCATCTGGGATCCCAGGATTTGCAAGGCAAGAATTTAGCCATTGACCATCGCGCTGGACCCACCTCTGCCTTTTGAAGGTCCCGCTACCTCCCAGTGCTGGTAACCCGGGACCACATGTGAACAACACTCAGCTGACAATCAGTTGCCTGCAGAGTTGCCCTCAGACCCCCACCAGAGTGAGGCCAAAGAGAACGAGGAGCCCTCATGGCTTCCCCACAAGTAAGGAAGCGCTTGTGTTGGACGGAGCTTTAAAGGTCATGGTCACCAGCCAACCCATTTCTTTCCTTTTTCAAGATTTATTTATTTTTATTGGAAAAGCAGATTTGCAGAGAGGAGATAAAGAGAGAAAGATCTTCCATCTACTGGTTCACTTCCGGCTGTAACGGCTGGAGCTGAGCCAGAAGCCAGGAGCAAAATATTTGAAATACGTATCCTGCTCTAGAGCACTCATTGTTTTTCTTTTGACTTAACTAAACTCATTTTTAAAACTTTTTTTTTTTTTTACAATTTACTTAAAAGTATTACATACAGAGAGAAAATCTTCCAT